TAAAATTTTATTTAAACTTGATTATTTTAAAAACTGTAGCATAGAATTTTATAAACTTTTTTTATTTAAAAGATATAAATTTAAAGAATTTATAATTTAATTTTTAGCTTAATATCTTATACATTTAGCTCTGTATAAATTTTTAAAAAGTGTTCACAATAATATGATAGGCTACTGTAACTTACTAAGAAAAAGGTTTTCTTTGTTATTTGTTCAGCTAGAAAAGTTACTAACTTGTTCAAATTTAAAATACCTTGCTTCGAAACTCCTACTTTTTCAGCTTTTTACATTTAAGTGAGGTGCCTTAACCTATTTGATCTATACCGATCTAAAAGTTTTAAAAGGTACTTTAGGGTACTAAGAATATACTAGCAAAAAAATTTCTGTGGTTATAAAAAAAGATATTTGGGTTACTATATTACCATTTATTAAAAATTTCACATGAAAACTTATAGTATGCAATACGCGAACCAATCATATTTAATCTGATGATCAGGATCAACGACCAATTAAAACGAACTTCCATCTTGCTATATACCTTAATAACAGTGTATTATTTGATTCAATGTTATTGAGTACAAGTAACTTTTTAAGTTTGTAATATTTGACGTGTTGAATAGCACTATTTAAATGCCATTTAATATACCATTCAGATGCTATTTAACTTTATTACATGATTTCACAAATATTCAAGTTAAATAGCATATCGAATGGCATTCGAATAGTGCTATTCAACATGTCGAATTTTTAATTTTCTACCAGTATAAAAGAAGTGATTTTTGGAGAAGTAATTATCAAAATAAACATATAAAGCAAAGTAATTGTAAAAAAAAGTTATTGTAGGAATGATAAGAAATATTAATATGTGAAATTGTTATATAATCGATTTTAAAATTATTCAGATCAATTCTAATTATTTATTTATATTTTGCAAGTGAATTTATATATGTCATTACTTGGTATTTAAAGATTCTCCATAACCCATTGTGTAACAAATTGTTTCCATACATTATTTATCTATGTTTTAAATTTGCAAGTGATCTGATTACATCCAACACATTATTTTTTATTTTGTATTATGATACTGAAAGTTTTTAATTCCACAAATTATTATAGTCAGCTTAGAGGGCTTCTAGAAATTAGCTAATTTTTGGGTAAGTAGGTGGGTCAGCCAAAGTATTAGGTGTAATTTCGGCCAAAATTAAGAATTTTTTTTGAGCTAAATTATAAATTTATTATTGTTATAAAAAAAAAAAAAAGCATATAGTTGTGAAAACTAAAGTACTTATATCTTATGATATACTAAGCTAATTTTAATATTTTATTTGCTATTTTGATCACAAGACTCTATTCTACAATTTTACTTAGAAGATTTACTAAGTAAAGGTTTAAAAATCATAATATTTTTTATAATTTTATTAATAAAATTATGGAAAATATTAAAATCCACAAATTTGTATTAATTAAATCTACTTTTATGTTCTAAGTAAACCTGTTTTACGCATAAAAATATACTATATTGATATATATTTACTTTATAATTTTAAATTTTAAGAGAAAAGATACTTAATTTTAAAATTTTGATTAAAAATTCAAAATTAAGCATCTTTTTTCTTAAAAGTTAAAACTATAAGGTAAACGTATACTGATATGATGTATCTTTATGTGTAGAACAAGTTTAATTAGAGCATGAAGGTAGAATTGATAGTAAAATTTTGTAGATTATGATAATTTACATAATTTTATTAATAAAATTATGGAAAATATTACAATCTACAAAATTTACTATCTAATTCTACTTTTATACTCTAAGTAAACTTGTTCTACATATAAAGATATATCATATTGGTATATGTTTACCTTATAGTTTTAAAAGAAAAGATACTTAATTTTAAAATTTTGATCAAAATTTCAAAATTAAGCATCTTTTCTCTTAAAATTTAAAATTATAAAGTAAACATATACCAATATGGTGTATTTTTATGTGTAGAACAAGTTTACTTAGAGCATAAAAGTAGATTTAATTAATAAAATTTTGTGAATTGTAATATTTTACATAATTTTATTAATAAAATTATAAAAATATTATGATTTTTAAACTTTTACTTAGTAAATCTCTTTTAGTTTTTAAGTAAAGTTGTAGAATAGAGTCTTGCAATCAAAATAGCAGGTAAAATATTAAAATCAATTTAGTATATAAGTATTTTAGTCTTCATAACTATATGCTTTTTTTTATATTTATAACAATAATAAATTTATAATTTGGCTCAAAAAAAGTTCTTAATTTTGGCCAGAATTACACCTGATACTTTGACTAACCCCCATTTATCCAAAAATCAGCTGATTTCTGGAAGCCCCCTTATTGGCACAAATAAGTGGATGCCTCCTCTGCTTATATGTAATTAATGAACATCTAGCAACTAACCAGGCATTACAGCAAGCTGATATCCACAAGTACTGGTAGATTCAGGGCTGTCATATAGAATTTCTAGAATCTATACACCTTATTAATAATAATCGCATGGATCTTAAGCCTCTTCTTTAATATTTTGTACAAAAATACTAGCATTGGCCACCACATCAACAAGACATTATCTATTCTCAGCTAAAAGAATTGGCGAATACACCTTCTGTTATTTTAGAAGACTCAGTTATTACTAAACTACAAGGAAGGCTAGTTGGTACTAGAAACAAGAACAAAAGAACAACTTAAAGAGAACTATCAGAATTTGAGCATGTTGAAAAATGGTGATAATGTGATACATGTCACCAAATTGGTCACAATTGCTGAACTTGTTCTAATATATTTAATTAGCACATATTAATTATTAATATAAATTTCTTATCTTGTATAGTTGCATGAACTTGATTTAGACTAGTATTATATTTAAATTTGCTCATTAAACTTGTTTGCTTTAAATGCTATACAATATTTGTATATACATATATATATAATAAAAATATATGGAAAATCTTTTAAAACTCTTTCCTGTTTATCTCTGAAAATCATAATTGATAGTAAAAAAGTAAACAAATTGTTAGTCATTATAAGTAAATTTAAAGCAAGCTTAGCCCTTGAGGCAAGAAATATTATCTAGTACACAGTAATTATTTACTATAGGCAAGATACAGACAAACTACAACACTTTAAAGACAAAGACAACATTAACTTTAGCTTCTTTGAAGCCTAATGACAGTATGTTTCAACAAAAAACATACTTTTAATCATTCCAAGAAAAACTATTTGGTACAATATTGACGGATAATAATCTCACAGACCCTGAAGCATCCTCCCAATTGTTTACACATCCAATAGTACTTCCAAAAACTCCAACCACACTAAAAACCGCTCCTCCAACCTTCACTACAATTCTTATACTAAACAAAAAGTGGGCAATCTGGCTTATCCCAGTTTGCAGATCAGTTTGAGTTACACATAACACAATTATGACATCACCCAACCAACCTCAAAATACAACAAACTCTAAAAAGGATGATCCCGATACCGGTGCCTCAATCCCAATGCAAATTTTCTCATGATCTGAACAAAACAAACCTATTTTGACTGATCCGTATCTCTCAACTAACTCAGGACCACAACTTGTTCCCATAGATACTGATCATAGACAGAAGTTTGTCTAATTGGCTAGTTTTTTAGATTGATTTGCAAATCTACATGTTACAATTAACCAATCAAATTGCATAATTTTTATTTATTATTTTAAAATATTACAGACTAAAAACGAAAACTTCAAGAAAAAAGTTTATAAGAATCGGTAAAAATACTAATTATATACATATAAAAGATAGGCAAATATACGTAAAAAGGAGTAAAAGCGGTGTTTAACTACTAAAACAACCAGAACTTACTAAATCTAACTACAGAACTATTTAAGAACCCAAGCTTATATATATGATTTATAAACCCAAATTTAAAAACCAACCCAATTTAAAAGTGCTTTAACTTTAAATTTCTTATTGCTAACATTACTAACAAGCTTATTCTGCTTCAAAAACCAAATCTGAAATTCTGATCTCTAAAAAAAACTTGCTATTTGTTAGTAATTATTTTTTTAGTGCGTATTAAAATTCAACAAACCCTTTTTTTTCTTTACCTAGTTCAGAAAGTTGCATCTAAGCTAATACTACTTAAATTTAAGATTATTTAAAATTATTTTTAAAGGTGGTCTTCTAGCACTAAAACAAAGTAAATTGTGTAAAAAAATTTTTTTCACATTAGTGAAATGTTGCATTTCTTAAAAAGTACTTTAAAGTATATAAATAAGTTATCTAGGCAATTGATCTACATCAGCCAATCAGATAAATTTCTGTCTATGAGGATACTGACCCTACCCACACACCTACCTGGGTACCTGTTAGATACCAATTTAAACAACTAACTGATCCTTTGCAACCCCATTCCTACAGTCAAGCAGTCCGAAAACTCTCCCAATCTTACTATTGATTCATTCACAACAACTTCCGTTCTCTAGAACCAGTGCATAGTAGAAGTACTTGTACAAAGAAAATCATTATTTGACACACAACAATAGAGCAACGACTGAATTCTAGAAGCCTTCAAAGATGAAGCGAACTTAACTGATTTTCTAAGATATAAGGCAAACTCAAAATCTACTATTTACAATTTATCTTCTGCAATCAACTCAAAAGTTTAACTTTCTTAACACGGCCTTCTTCAAATCTTTCACATGAATTAAAGAATCAATCTCACAGCACCAACGTGAATTCGAGACATTATACAACATGGCCCTAAAAAAGTACAAGAGACAACATGATACCTGCTTCATTAACAAATTTACAGTAATCAAAACCAAATTACAGAAAAACTTAAAGAAAAAATAGCAATAGACTACATTACCAATATTGACTTTCTTAAAACCAATCCTCATGATATAACTAGAAAATTATTCTATTGCACTAACTTTGCTTGTATTGATCTTCCTATGAGCTTTGAGAATATCAGAAAGATTATTAGAGGAGTCTTGTCTAACAGACTTGAACCACTACTACCAACTGTTAAAGCTATTCAAGAAGACATACTAGCCCTGCTACCCTTCAATTTACCTATTCAAAATCACAACCAAACTAAAGCAATTGTTGCTGCACTTTGTAAAATCTACAAGTTTGATTCTCTCCCAGAAGAATACTTTGTAACTCAATATATCAAACTTCTAGATGAACCCTCAAAACTTGACCCATCGGTTAGAGACTTATTCCCTATCAATGAACGTGCTGCACTACTATTCCTTTCGGAATACTGCCATAAACTTTCAAACCTCTACAGTGCAGACAACCTAGTCCCAACCAATAAAAGTTTTTGGCGGCCAAATTTTAAAATTATGTAATGCAGCCAAATTTGGTATTTCTACTATATACGGCCAAATTTGGTACTTCTACTATATACGGCCAAATAATATACAATAAACTAATACATATAATATTTAATTTTGAAAAATTTATAACCTTTTAGTATATATAGTATATATTTCAATTAGCATGATTATTTTAATTGATCAATTTATATTTTTGGTACAGATTATTTCCCTTTTAAAAATTTTATTTTTTTAAAATCTCTAAAAGGCAAGTAGAATCGGATCCATATTGCAACTCTGCCTAACCATTTTGCTTATATATGTGATCATACTCTCTAATTTACAAGACTCCTTACTATTTATCTAAGACCCCAACGCACAACTATAATTCATTAGTGCTGATTACGATTATAAGAGATTCCATCTGATTTGCTGATCTTTTCTAAAATTACTAAACTATGAATAGGCCAACTTTCAATTAGTACTATACTCGATAATGTGGGTAAATTTTAACACATTTTTCCTATTATGTCTAGTCTCTTATGTAATTATGCATTGCCTTATTGGAGATATGGCATCAACATTACCTGATAATAAAGCAATCTCTATAATAAGAACCAATTTAATAGTGAAGACATAGGCTATAGGCATATATAAGTATAAAGAAGTATGGCTAATATGACAATTGATTATTGATAATAATATCTTGATCCATCAGATATTAATGGGAAACAAAATTTTTTTTGCTCATACATAGATCAAGATATTATTCATTTTGCAATTATCCATTATGATGCTTAATTAACTGCTAAATTTCTATTGCCCTTTAAATAATCTTCTTGTAATAATCTGGTAAATATCGGGAAATTCTCTATCTTCATAAATACCAATATTTATTTCAAACCACATACTGCCTGTGGGCGCATTACAGAACTTTTCTGTTGCTCTCACAATACGACAAATATTAAAATACTAACCTAAAAAGTGAAGTTATTAGAACCATAATAGAATTCCAGAAATAGATTCGAAATCATAAGGAAAAGGAAAAATAGTAAATACTTAAAATAAAATGAGAAATAAATGAGAATACTTCTATTATGCCTCATTAGATTAGATTGAGACAAAGAAATAAATTTTTTTTTAATTGTGTATCTAAAAATTATAAAAATGATCGCGAATTTGTTAAAAATAATGGTTTAAATTTTCTTGTAATAAAGTAATTATAAAAAAAAATAAATCGTTAGTAAATCCTGCTGTATAATTTAACATGCCACGTCTGACAAACCGCAAACAAAGATCAAAAAAGGCTTCTGAAGCAAAGGAGCAAAAAAACAGTATTAAAAATTCTGACGATAGCAATAATGCTTCTTATGATGAGGCAGTTGAGAATAATAATGCTACAGGCATTGTAAAAAGGCTTCAAGCGAGAACAAAAAAATATAATAATAATACTAACCTCGAAGATTATGATGATGACAATCTTTTTGCTCACAATAAGTTACTCAAAAATAATAATACAGAAAGCATTGTAAAAAACTTCAAGATGGAGCTAATAAATATTACCAGGAACACGATTCTAACAAAGCTCATAGTACAAGTTATCTAGAAAACTCAGTACGTACTAAAAGGAGAAAAAGGCAGCAACAGCGTAAAGCAGCAAAGGGAACCCCAATGTTACATACCTTTTGGAACCAAGAAAAATCTGTTGAAAAAGCTGATGAGGTAGAATTGAGTGATAATAAAGATCAGTTAGAGGAAGTTGATGAGGATGATGATATTGGAGGGCCATCAGAGGATGAGATTGAAATCCGTAATTGGTATAAAAAAAATTCCAACTGCTCTTGAAGGCTTAGTATTAGATATTAAAAAAGAAAATCCAACTAGTGAAGATTGGGTATGTCTTAATAGCATTTGATTTTATTTCCAGCTTGTAAAAAATAATCACAAAGAAATGAAAGCAAGCGAGATGCGGCAGGAAAAGGGGTATACTATGCTAAATGCATTCATTCCTGGGCACATAATTATGTTATGACTTGTCATATTCCCTATTCACACCGGGGACACCACGTGAAAACATGAAGCTTTCTCTGGGATAAAGATATTCTTCTTCAAATAAAATCATATGCTCATGAAAATAAGTGGAATATTACTTCACATATGATTATACTTCAGATGAATGAGGTCATTCTACCAGGGCTCGGGTTTGCACCGCCTCCGACTATTTTGCTTAGTACTGCAAAAAATTATTTAAAAGAGCTTGGATATGTATATAGAAGTGTAAAAAAGGTGTTTATATAGATGGGTATGAGAGGGAAGATGTAGTAATATATCGAAATATATTTTTAGCACGAATGAGTGAACTTGAGCGTAGAATGCCAATATTTTCTAGAGATAATATGGAAGTAGGAACCTGGCCAGATAACAATGTAATTCTACTTATTCTTGTTACACATGATGAATATATCTTTTAGCTAATGATAGAAGTCGAAGTCTTTGGATTCCTGATGGCAAACAACCTTTACAAAAAAAAGGTGAGGGCCGTTCAATTCACGTTAGTGAATTCCTAACTGACGTTTATAGTCGACTTGTACTTCCTGATGAAATACAACTATCAGATAATCTTCTTAGTGAAGCTTGTGTTATTATACACTGTGGCAAAAATTATGATGGATGGTGGAAAACCGAGGACTTGATTGATCAGTAATTAGTTTCAAATTAAAAATTGATCAAAAATTGATTATAGTCAATTAATCGATTAATCGATTAGTTGACTATAATCGATTTTTACAAAAACAAACTCTGCCAACTAATCTATTGCCCAATTTGTAATACTATAGGTAGTCAACTGTACTATTCCTATATTTGAAGCATGCTTCCCGGGATGTCAAGCCTTGTTTGCATTTGACAATGCAACAAGTCATGCTGCTTTTTTACAAGATGCACTTATTGCCAAATATATGAATCTTAGTCCTGCTGGAAAACAACATAAAAAGCACAGCACATCATACTTTCGTGATATGGTTTTTCCATCAGACTATTACATTCCTGAATTACGCGGTGAAGCTAAAGGATTGAAAAAAGTTCTAGGAGAGAGAGGATTGTGGCCGGAAGAAGGGTTGAGGGTGAAAGAAGCACAAGAATTAATGAGTCAACAACCAAACTTTTTGGCGCAAAAAGGATAGCTGGAAGAAATTATTGTTGCAGCCGGGTATCAAATTTTATTTAATACTTCACTATGATCAGTTTATAAAATAAATCAATTATTTTATGGTATTTTTAAATGATAAAATA